CCACCACCACCAACAACAACAACAACAACAGCAGCAACAACAACAACACCACTAACAACAACAAACAAACAAACAAACAAACAAACAAACAAACAAACAAACAAACAAACAAACAAACAAACAAACAAACAAACAACAACAACAACAACAACAACAACAACAGCAGCAGCAGCAGCAGCAGCAACAACAACAGTAGGAATAATATCATTCATCACACGAAGAATAATAATAGTAATAACAATGATATTATTATCAATAATTGGAATGACAATAATAATGCTCATGACTCCAACAATGATAATTCTAAGTACAATAATAATACTAATACTACGAATAAGGAGAATAGTAGCAACAATCATAGTCATAGTTATAATGAGAGTAATAACAACCACAATATTGATAACTATAATACTAGTAGCCATAAAACTAATGATGATCATACTGACAATAATCAATAGAAACGATGATAATCATCATCATCCAATGGAAAGCATTTTCTGAACTAATTGATTGTTGGCGGTCACATGATTTTTAACGCTTCCCCTTTCCGTGCTTGTAGGAACCGTGGACGGAAGAGTTTCTTCTCCAAATGCCAATGTTAGTGGGTGGTATTGGATCCTCGCGGTTGTTCGCTGTACCAGAGCTTGCTGAACAGTCATATGTGCCATGGTCAAAGACCCCTTGACTTGGGGTTCACAGTTCACCGGGATGGTCATTCGGGTAGTGCGGATCCTGAATGGCCATCATAATCACTCCCTGTTCGGTCCATAGGCCGTATAGAGAGTTTTGACAATGGCACAATGTGATGGGGACGCTGGCGAGCCTCTTTGGATATCCTCTTTCGAGACCCATGACACCAGACTCGCGCGGACGGGCTGTTTCAACCAGCCACATGTGTTGGCCATCGAATTCGCCTAGGTTATGCCGCAACTGCCTCCCACCATCAGCCTGGGGAGTGCTCAAGCGCCCTGGGTGGAAGACGAAGACACGGCTGTGTCTTTGTTTGGGGACCCCCCAAAATGGAGATTTTCCTTTTGGCTTCCTTTTGAAACCCAATCAAAAGGGGGGTCTCCTAACAAAAGACACACCCACATGGCTTTTGAACACCTTGCGGGCCAACTCGTCGGTGAGTTTCCTTGTGGTGCTTAAGAATTCCTGAACTTTGCTGGCTATCCATGCGAGCACCGAGCAAAAGATGTTGAATGGGCCCTCTCAAACCAAAGACGGAACCAGAGGGAGCGATCATTTGCCTCTGAAGGAAGTGTTTGGCAGGTTCCAAGTTTGTTCTTTGGAGGTTGCGACTTGAACAAGTAAGGTTTCGCAACACGGCAGTGTGTTCCTTTGTCGCGCCATTCAAAGGATGCAGCGGAAAGGCCGCAACTTGCGAAAGTGAATCCAAGGTCCCGCCGACCATCAGTATGGGGAGTACCAGTGCAGCTTGGCAGAATTTCTGCGATTGCATTTATGTATTAATAATTGAATTTATTTTAAGATCAATGAGTCAATGAACGCTGAACCAATTGTGATGATTGTGTATTTCTTGTGTTACCATTAATTTGTTTTTTTGGAATGCAAATGTTGTAGAAAGAAACCGACTTTGACGGAGCAACTGGATTGGTGATCGGGCTGGGTATTGCTGAAGGCAAGGGCGCAAAAGCCCCGCCCCTGTACGAACCGGCGCAGGGTGCGCAAGTAATCCTTCAGCCAGGGAGGCCATGTGGGGTCGATAGGATGCAAAACACTCCACTTGGTGGATTCCTGGCTATCTCATTTGGGCGTCAAAATAGCTCTCACGATGTGGAGTCCTTCAGGAGTGCATTGGGTCCTGTATCTCATGCAATATCCCATGTAGGGCATGTGCTGCTTCCAATGTCTTTGCCGAGAATTGCTGCGAAGAACTTCTGAAGATTAAGAAAGTCACTCTGCACAAACTAGGCGACCGACCGACATGGGAAGGATGGCATCTCATGCTCAGCTGTGTTCCTCAGCTTTGGGCGCGGGCGTTGCAAAAGGGATTGTGGGCTTGGCATAGGCTTCGCGAAGGCAGCTAAGCATTAAAAAGCCCGAATGACAAATACTGTATGTTTGTTCAGGACTAATAGCGCAGTACCCTTGCGCCAGGGTCTACAGAGCAATCTTGATTAGCAAGCAGCAGCGCTGGTTTTGCCCAAAAGCGCTTGCTCAATAACTGTATCATTGCCCCCTTTCGCCTTCAAAGAGCGCACAGTGCATTTCGTTATCACTTTCGCTTCCGATAGCCACCGCAACGGGGCCAGGAGTTACGCTGCAACACTGCTACGGAGCCCCGCTCCGAGTCTCTTTGATCTGAGGTGGTAGTCGTTGGGCAACCAGTGCGTGACCCAGTCTAGGCGCACTGCTCCGAGTTCGTCGCTTCTTTGCCAAGGGCTGCCAGCTGCAAGCCGCTGGTAGGGATGTGCAGTTCTTACATCCAAAAAGAATGCCATGGGGGTTGATCAAATATTCCGATTCGGATCGAGGA